CGCGGCCTTGAGGACGGGGAAGTCCATAAAATACCGCTGGATAATCTGAAAGACCCGCACCAGGTCCGCGGGGAAAGTCTCCAGTGCGATTTTTAGGCTTTGCAAGTTCTCGCTGCTCGTAATGAGTGTCCAGGACAGGCCCCATGGGCGAAGCGCCTCCACGAGATGCGTGAAAAAACGATTGCAAATGCTTTCCAACTCGCAAGCCCCCCCCTCATCGTGGTGAATTCCACCAACCCCCAAAGAAACCGTCGAAGGGGCCTCAGAGGGGGAATTACCCCCCCGGACATCGGTCGTCGGTTGTCGGTGAAATAACTGGTGAAAAGACTCCAGGGTGTAGGGCGGGCAGGAATGAGGGGCGTCGGGCGCACCCGAGGGGATGGGGAAGGCCAAATTGGAAAAGAAGCTCAACATGCTAAGAATCCCGTAAAGATTCACCAGGCGAAGGAGAAAGATCCGCAACTCACACGCTGAGCCGTTTTCGAAGTCGATCGCAATCGCGTCGGCGCCCTGCTTCATAATTTGACTAAGTTTGATCACAACGTGGTGTAAAACCCAACAGGCCTGATGAATATTCGCCTTTGGCGGCGTGAGGAGACGAGAAGAAGGGGGTGGGGCCGCGCATTTCGGAGTATACAAAACCCCAAACGCCATAAAAGTGACCAAAACCCCGGAAAAAAGATCGGACTCGACGTCTAACGCGATCTGGCAAAGAACGCGCGAGGTGATCGAATGCTCCACCGAACCCCACACCCCAAAGGAACTAAAAGAGGAAAAAATATCCTCGCGGACGGTCTGATAGGATGCGATGAGGCTACCTCGAACCAACGACATCCCGAGCTGAAAGAAATTCCACCTTGGCTTACACGGCGATAGGGATATTAAAGGGGGATGGGAATCATCCCAATCCCCTCTCACCCGGGGCCCTTTCGCCTCCCACTCTCTTAATGTCTGAATGCGCGCAATGAGGTATTCACTGAACTGCTCGATTTGTCGGAGGTGTAAATCACTACCAGTTGGATAGGTCTCGGATGAGGAAACCAAAGCCCCCCCGGCAGAGGGGGAGGATGAAAATGGGGTTGTGGAAAAGGTGAGGCGCGGGCGGAATGGTAAAGACAACTCCGCACATGTGATATTCCGTAATAAATCCGTATTGCCGGTTGAAACCGCGGGTATTACATATTTGACACCGGTTGAACTTTTAGAGACCATGATATTGCACTATTAATGGTATATATATCGATATCTATATATATAGATATATAGATATCGATATATAATAGTAAGAACGATACTATTGTTGTCCCTTATTTTGAGGTCCTTGTTAAATACTACATATATATATATATATATATATATTGTCATGACAAACAGACAGAGAAGAAAAGAGTGAGTTAGACATCAGAGAACGGGAAAAAATGCCATCTCACACATCTGAGTCTAGTAAATTGAAGTGAAAAAAAATACCTAAATTACTAGAAACCCATAACCAATATTAAAGAAACAAATGCAAACAGTGAGGCCCATCGCATAAAGTTTATCTGCTCCCTCCCTCCATATCCCACCGATAAGGAATACTTTGAAAATGTAGTCAAAATTTAAAAAAAACAAGAAATCCCATAAAGAGAAACAAAAAAAGGCGCCAAATCAAATCACTGCAGTAAACTACATGCGGTTTGAGACTGAAAGTTAATTTGTATGAATCCAGTCATCTCCAGTTCCTTCAAAACCAATAGAACCGCCTCGTCTGAGAGCTGCGCGACCTGCTGTAGCTCCACAATACGCACATATTTGGCCTTTTCCACCTCACAACGCTGCGCGTGGGCGGTCAGTAAATACAAAACCCGCACGCTGTCTGGAATATTGATGTGGTAGAAATTGTTATCGGAAAGTACGCCTCTCTCATCCCATGCCCCTTCACAATATTCGGGGGATTGGGGGGTATGCAAAGTGGCCAGCGAATCCACTTGATACGTGGCGACCCGCAGAATCTCCTGCATGGAGCGATCGGGCGGGAGGACGGAGTCCAAGAGGGTCTTCGCCAGGGTGTTGGCCAGGGAAATCTTCAGGTTGGGGAGCTGCTCGACGGTGACCGCCGGGACGCCCTTCGCGGGGCGGAAAAACGGCAAATAGTGCTGGAGGGCCCACCGCGCTTTGTGTTTGGTGTCGACAAGCGAACTCCCCTCCGGGGCCACCGTTTCCGCATCGCCAAAGGACATCCCGCAGGCCTCTTCTTCCCGATCGTAAATCTCCTCGAGGGCTTTGACGACGGGCTGGCAGCCCAGAACGTGCAGGCTACCGCCTTGGCCGTCAAGGAGCTCGGCGTAGAGCAGCATAAAAATCACGGCGGTATCGAGCCGGTAGCCGCGGCCCACGGCGTCCGACGCGCTGAGAAGTCCATCCAAAATCGCCGTCGTGTCCGCCAAAAGATCCGCGCGGGTCGTTCGCCGTCGTTTGCGAATTTCATCGCGGGATGCCGCGGGGGCGACCGCAGAAAGCGCCGGGTCGCCCTCATCCCCGCCAGGCCCGAACGCGCCGGAAGGGCGATCCGACGATTCGGCCGCCCACCGGCTGGAAAACGCGAAGGGCATCAAAATGGTGTGAAAGCCGAGGACGACGTCCTGCAGGGAGTGGCGTACGGCCCAAACCCGCTGCCAGCCCCGCAGGACGGCGCTCGGGACGAGCAAGGGAAAGCGCCGAAGGGCCTCACGGAGAAAACAACAAAGCGGCAGGTTGTGCGGGCGAAGAAAGAAAAAACGCCGCTCCCGAAGAAGACGCCGTTCGAGATCCTCCATTCGAAAAGCGACGGCGTCGCCATCGGAATTCGCCCGAGGGGCCGCCTCGGTGGAAGAAGGGGGGCGAAGTAAAGAGGGCTCCCACAACATCGCCAGGCGGTGAATCCGCGCGAAGGTCGCCGAGGGCCTGTGGGGGTTAAACCCCAACGCGGACTCGCCCTGATTCGCGTTCTCGTCGACATTGTAGTCATCGTGTTGGGTGAAAAGTTTAACATGGTAGAGGTGGCGAACGTCCTCCTCCAGCCGTCGCTCCAAAAGGGCCCCGCCGTAGAGCTGATCCTCGGGCAGTAAAAGAAGGGCCAAGTGAATCCCCCAGCCCCGTCGCCTCAGTCGGATGTTGTGAAAGGTCCCCAATGAGGAGAAATCGTGAAGAAAAAGTTGAAGTTGATCGCTGCCGTATCGATGCCGCCGCGCGGCCCCGACGTTGTCCGCGCCATTCGCCTTCCGCCGACCCCGAGGCGAAGGTTTGCCGCTCACGGTCGTCGAGAAGGTCGCACGATTATCCGTACAGCAGCGGACGATAACAAGAAGCCGCCGCGTTGTGAACCCCTTGGGAAAGGCCGGGGATGGGCGGTCAAGCGCGTCCCTGCCTCGTTTGGCCTCGGCGTTCAAACCGGGAAACGGCCCCGTCGATCCCCGCGCGGGCGATTCAGGCGCCCCCGCCTTGGACGCCTCCTCCACCGCCTTGCACCACTCGCGGATGGCCTCCACGCAGGTAAAGCGCGATTCCTGGATGCTGCGAAAGGACGCGCTCGGGCCCTCCGCCTGGGCGTCCTCGTGCGGAAGGGCGCTCGAGGGCCCCGTCAGCGTGGCGCCGTTGGTGGGGGTTAAATTCACCGAAAGGACGGCGTCAAAGCCGCGGCCGCGGAAAAACGTCTGCAGGGCCGCCCCATCATCCCCGGAATGCCCCCACACCACACTGTCCGTGGCGATCCCGAGCGGAATAAAGTCATGCCAGGCCGTCAACCCGTCCGGCAGGGCGATTTGCCGGAGAGGCGGCGGTGAGGGAAGCCACTCCGCTTCCGCCTCGGCCTGCGCATTCGCTGCGGTGGGGCCATCCGTTCCTTTTTCAAGGCCCCCGGATGCCGTCGTGGCGGCGTCGAGGTCGACGGTCTGGACGTGCCGGCCGAGCAAAAATCGTACGATATCATCCAGCTCGGTCGGCATTAACCATGACGAAACACTCTTGACTACTTCGTTGAGGTAGGCGAGAACTTCGGCCATGCGCACGGGATGGGGGGGTTTCGCTTTCGAATAAAGGGTATTAACAGCTGCGCCTTGTTCCGGATCGTGTTGCGGTTCCACATAGATTCTACTAAACCGTCCGTGTCGAAAAATTCAGACGGTGTGTGGATAGCTATGCTGAAAATCTTGGATATTTACTGAGATGAAGCAAACGTAAAAAAGGGAAAATATCAGTAACGTTACTGCCTGAAGAAGTGGTATGGCGAAAAGTATACCCCGCAAACAAACCCCAAGGTCACTATACAATCGGATAAAAGAGCATAAAACGTAATATATGAAATATAACTTTTATCACCAATAAAACGATCTAGAAATGAAATTGTCAAATTTATGAAAGCATCCTGAAGCCAAGAAGGATCTACATTATACATCAATATTGTTGGTGTTGATACTTTTATCGCTTCAATGTGGTTCGGGTGCGCCTTTTCAGATCCTGAAAATAGGACATCGCCCCCCCTCCCCCTACACCACCGCTAAGGTAATGATTTTCACAGCGATATCAGTCATTGGAGCCGTGTGAAGTCAACAGGCCGGAGCAGTACTTCGAGCAATACCAAACATCGGCCCTGTCCGGCCCTCCCGGGTGGGCGCACATAGTGTGAACCAGCGCCTTACACCCCGTACAGCGTAGTAATCGAAATTCCTCATCGGGAGGATCCCCTGCTCGATCCTCGCTTGCGTTCGCGTGGTCGGGCTGGTCTTCCAGTGATAGCCGCCCTCCTAGTTCGCACATCACGCAATACGGACTCTCCGAACCCCCTGCCGTGCGCGCGGCCTTCATCCCCAAAAACGGCATGCGAACCTCCCGGACCGCACAAAACGGATCGATCGAATCCCCCGCCTCATCCGACCGACCATCCTCGGGGCTTTCCACCGCCCTTTGCCCCTTCTTTTTCTCGCGCGCAGAAGAAAAAGAAGGAGAAGGAGGGGTGGAATCCGGCGCCCCATTCCCCTGCTCGATCTTGTCCTCCGCGAGCCCGATAAGATGACAAAGCGAACGGCGTAGGGCCTTTTCCTGCGCCGCCTGGGCACTCAAATAGGCCTGGTTGAGTTGGGCCCAATCCAGGTCAACGGCGCCGTCCTCCGCGGGGGAAAACGCGCCCTCCGAGGCCTCCGCGGAGCTATCGTTTATGGACAACGGCGAAGAATCCGAATGGGGCGCCCATCCATTGCCCTCTTGGCCAGCCTTGGCCTCAAAAGCCAAGCCATCCTCCTCGGAGTCCCCCCCTCGGGTGAGTCGAGCCCCCTTCGTCGGGGATGCCTTCTCGGTGGGTTGCGCGTTGGCCGCCATCATCCGCGGCGGCGGGGCCTCCGGCATGCACGAAAGCGGCGGGATATCATCCACGTAGGGCAAAACATCGTTGGGGCCGTCCAAAAGATCGATCGCGGGGGGCGGCGAGGCCGCGAGCAGGGAAGATCGCGATAGCCAGTGAAGACTTTCAAGCAATGGTCGGCCCCCCACGGCATGCAAGCCGAGCTTGGCGCTGGCCTGTCGGGCGAATTCCAAAAGCCACGCGGCCCCCTCCCGCCCCACGCAATGGCGAAGCGTTTGATAGGGCGGGGGCGCCGTCCGCGGGGAGTCCGAAAAGTTCCCCTCCTCCGCGTGAATTTCACCCGACATATCCGTCGAAAAAGTGCCCCACAGAGAGCCGGGGAGGAGAAGAATCCGCCGGAGTTGGGGGTGGTGCAGACTCAGCAAACCGCGCGCCCCCACAGAGGCCTGACGCCACGTCCGGCTTGTCTGGCGAAGTTCCTCGCGCAAAAGCACGCGCGTGAGGTTTTCCTGGTGTAAAAGGTGCTCGTATGTGATCGCCGCCGCGCACGCCACGCGCACGCGCCCCTCATGCGATAGCCGCGAAGGCGAATCCGCGTTGTTCGTGCTCGGGAAGATGTTAAAAGCGCGACTCGCCTCTCCGCCCTCCGCATTACGGCCCTCACTGCGAAGGAAAACCAACAGGGCCAAAAGCCGTTTGGCCCTTATCGCGTGATGCGTTCGGATCAGCCACTGCCCCAAGTACTCTTTTTGGTGCAAATGATCGAATGGTGGAGAATCGGGCATAGGACATGGATGGTGGTTTGACTACCCCTTTTGAGTTTGAGCGCTTGTGGGGTTTGAAACAAACAAGGAAGAATCAAGAGAAATCATAAGGAGAGGAACACGGTAAAGGGAGAAAAACCATATCACTGCAACGCATACCGCCGTTGTAACTGTAAAGAGGAAAATGGTGTGGTTGGAGGGAAAAAAGCCCAAACTTATTCTATCTAATCGAAGTTTTGCTTTGAAAGATGTGGCTTCTTTCAAAATGCAAGGTGGATCTGTCCTTACAACTGTGATTAACAATAGTATGCGATTTTACAATCCCATTACATTGGAGTGTGGTGACTTTTCAAAAAAAAAAAGGAAAAATGATAAAAAAACCTGTTCGGTTTGCCGAAGTCATGGTGTCAGTAGCACCAATGAGTTCGAACGCCGGACAGTGCAATTTGAAATATATAATCTAATTTTAACCATCTAAATGCATCTTTGGCGCAGATTAGGGTAAGAACTTAGCAGACGGTATATGAAAAATCGCATCACTAATATTTCCCTTATGTGAATCCGAAACTAAGATACGTTCCTTCGCCAACGCGGCGCGGCGTGCGGTATAGATTGCATCCCGTGAGTACGACACCAACGGACACGATATCTGTGCGCGTTCGATGGACTGATTCGCCATCTCCTTCGTGCGCTGGATGCTATTATGTACATACGATAACAACTTCAACGAAAGGCCCACGTAATCCAGCGGCCCATTCGCCACCGTGGCCGAATCCTGTGCAGTACCATCCGGATCCATAAGATTGCACCCACCGAAGGACGTGCGGGGCGATTTTGGAGTTTTTACCGGCCAAACCCGCATTTTCTCGCTCAGGACGTAGGCGAACACCACGGACGGGGGCGTATCGCGCAAGCTGGGGAGAATCTCCGCGGCCGCGGCGAGCTTCCCCTCGCCCTCCCACAAAGTCTTTTTCGCGCCGGATTTAAGCCCAAGAAGGTCGTACAAACTCGCCCAAGGCAGGGGAATGGGGGGGAAACTCGAGACGCCAGGCCCCGGCGGGGCCCCTTCGGCGTTCAAATCGAAAAGTCCCGCCAGGTCAGGGAGGCTGCGGGCCTCCACGCGGGCCCTGGCGTACGCGTTATCCGCGCGGAGCCCCCCAACCCGCGCGTTTCCCTCCCATGCCCGCCGCCATCGCAAATAGGCCCACAAATCTCCCCCATTCCCGAGAACCCCCGGGAGCCCCAAAGAAGTCTGAAAAGGATGCGTAGGGTGAAAAAGATGGTAAACTTTAATCGCCACCCTCGTTTTGGGCGGAAAGACGCGATCGATCAGAAATGGACGAGGGGTAAAGGAAAGCGTCGTGCTCCTTTCCTCGCTGTATTGGCTTTCGCTGCATTTGAGGTACTGATTGTACTGATCGGGACTCAACATGCTAATCGAGCGCAGAATTTGATAAATCAGAACAATACAATGCGGATTGGTCGTGCATGGCGCGGTGATATTGCCAATAATTAACGTGGCGGGGGAATAAGATTCGCCCTGGCAATACACAAGCCCCAGCCGCGGCATACTATCCCATAGGCTCAGCGCCATCGAACTGGGCAATCGGGGGATTAAATTTTTACATCGCCCACCGGCCGCGAGTAGATCCTTCTCCACGTTCTTCAGGAGCTCGGAAAGATCGATATACCACACGTTCGTAGCCAACATCACGGGATCACTCTTCGGCCCCTCGAGGCTCAATCGCATGCCGGTGACCGGGCTTTTTTTGAGTTGGGGCGGCTCCTTCTTCGACGAACGACGCCGCTTGGGATACGGAATAGATGATAGCGCGATGGTTGGTGTAGAACCTACCAAATTGCCGTTGTTTTTCACCCCCGACGAGTGCAATGTCGGAGAGCTGATCGTGGAGGAGACCTGGGTCGCCGCTGAATGTTCCCTGTCCGGTGGTATCATCTTGGTCTCTGCAGCTTCTATCGCGGTGTAATCGTCTAAATACCCGCGGACTTTCCCAATGGGACTTATCACTGAAGACGCCGTATTGCAGTGTCTTTGAACGGCGTCTTCAACTTCAGGTGAGGACAAAGGGGTGTCAATGCTTTCTGGGACAAGCGGCGTCTTTTCTCGAATTTTGCTATGGCTCAAATCCAACAAAATGTTTCCTCGACGCTTACGCGAACCATCATGTAAAGTATCAGTTGTGATTTTTTCAAGAGCCGAGATGCGCCGTTGAAGAGCCTGCTGATCTTTTTCCGATAAGAGGTTCGCGCTGAGGTCGATATAGCGAATTTTAGGGCAAAAGGATGGGCTGGGGAACGCATCCGGCACGGATGCCAACTTGTTCCCGCGAGCCCGAAAAACCCTCAGTTGTTTAAAGATCGATAAACATTGAGGAAGCGTGTACAAACGATTGCTATTGATTCTTAAAACCAACAGCGAAAGGGGGGGATTCTGTTTGAGTACTTCTACGTCATCTGGTGAGACGAGCTGCTCGATGCGGTTCTCGCTCACATCCAACATGTCTAACTTTCCAACACACGGCGCACACCATAAACTGGAGAGCGAGATAATCGCATTACGTGTGAGTCGTAGAGAACGCAATAACGGGAGCGCCTCGATTCCATCGAGGCTATGAATTGAATTATTGGTGAGATCCAATAACGATACATTGCGAAAGATGGCGATCGAACAGGGCCGCGAAACTGGGCTGAGATGTCGCTCGGGTTCTTTGAGGAATACCATATTGTATTTACCGCGATGACCCCCATCCATCGCTCTCAGTCCCTCCGAAGCTATTGTTTCGAGGTGATTATTAGACAAATTGAGCACGGATAGCCTGCTGGCGATACCCTCCCCACTGCCATGGGGGGATCCCGTATCGGCCATATGAAGACAAGGAAGCCGCACCAGCCCTCGATGTCGAAGATCTAAAACATTCGAACAGCGGCCACTCCCCCCGGTGGGAAGGCCATGGCATTTCACCCTTCCTTCCATCGCTTCTTTGGCGTGAGAAGGTGAGCTCAACTTCACCGGGCTTGTTCGCTTTAAACAGGCGGTCGTAGTGCGGGATGGGGTGTGATTGGAAAGGGTTCGATCGGAGGGCTGCGAGGCCGATGAGCGCGGAGCCCAATGCCCGGAGGACGCGAAACCCGAGTCCGACCCATGCGGAGGGGAAAGGGGTGTGTGATAGCCATCCCGGTAGCGCCCGCACGGTAGACGAGGAACGGATTTATGGACCTCCTTTGGCTTCTCCGCCACCTCCTTGACTTTGTGGGCGCTGGATTTGGTGGCAAGATAGTTGGCGGACATCATCGGACCCGAAATCGCGGGATCGCTAAAGAAAAACTTCTTCAACTCATCCATAAGGTGCAATTTCTGAAGCTTGGGGACTTTGGATGAATCGGCCTCGCCTTTCCGGAAGTCATCCCCAGATCGTTTTTCCGACGCGCAGGTCTCGTGAAGGGTTTCATCCTTCCTACGCTGGTGCTTTGGGGCTTTGTCAAGGTCACCGTTTTGCCCTCTTGACGAACTATAGGTCGGTTTGTGGGAACGTGCCGTGACATGAGTCGTCATTGTCGGTACGTGCATACAAACTTTTCTATCGCCAAGTGCGGTGTGTATTTCGGTCTAGAAAAAAAGCTATATTTTTTACTTCGATAATTAAGAATTGAAAGAAGAGATATTGTTAACTATGTGAGTTATGACGAGAAATGTCAACGTTTAATATCGTTTTTTGGCGAATTGTTTTCAAGAGTAATTCGTCTTACCTAATATGACTTGGTATGCTGCTTAGTAGTTATCTAGGATAATACTAAGGGACTAAATTTTAAAAAATTATTGAAATCAACAAATCACACAAAGAGAAATAGCAAAAGTGTAAAGATAAATAATTTTATAGTCATTAAAATAATAGTCATACAGCGAAGAACTGTATAACGGAAAAGAAAATTAAGGGAAAGTTGGGAATTGGAAAAATTCCTTCTTAACCCTTTGGAATGAACCACCTCTGTCTAACTATAACATTTAAATAGCCCCAGTGGTGCTATGTTGTACAACCTAAAAAAAAAACTCTTGCAAAACCCTCAAGTCAGCAGAGGGAGGGAGAGATTGAATGCATTCCAAACTATCTTGTAGAAGTACCAATATATATATATATGTCTGTGTGTGTATTAAATCGCAACGTTGTGATGCAACGAAATGATGTTTCAGTCAATATTCATCATCTCCTCACGTAGTGTCCAAAGCGCCCATAGAACGGATACCGTTAAAACAACAATCTGAATTGGAAGCGACACGACACACCCACGTGTTGGAACCTCCACATACGTAGCCACATCTAACGCTCCCGAATGCGAAATTGATATCATCGAGAATATTACCTGAAGGGTAAAAGCAAATACAAGGCTTAAAAGAGCAAAGTCGAGGTGTAATAAGAAAATCGTATCTGCCGGAATAACGCCGTCGTATCGATAAAGAGGACCCTCAAAAATATTGGTTGTGGTCGCAGCATCAGACGCTGTCGCTGGCGCCTCCTTGGGTTCAACACTCAAGGAATGGCCCTCCGCATCCTCTCGTGGCTTTACCTTGGGAACTTGTTCCGGCGACTTTTCAAGGCCCCGTGAGGCACCCTCAATTTCCTCGCGTGTGAGGGACTGAAAATCGGTTTCCAACCCCTCAGGAATCGATTTTCTCTTCGTATCATTCGTCGCAACAGCACTCATGAGGCTTTCAGTGCCCAAATTCGGTCCTCCATTCCCGATAGTTTCGTCGGATTGCTTGGCCTCAGGTGCACTATCATCGGACCCTGACCTGATATCGACAATGTTTACTTCACGCATCGGAACGTAGAAGGGCCGCAAACGCCTGCGCAAACCTCCTAAATAGGCTCGTACACCGTACTGCGCAAGCGCCACGAAGGGTTGACCAGCCATAATTCCCCACGAAACATGACATAAGGTCAGCATTGCACATTGAAAGCTGCTGTGGACGAGCATGGGAAGCTGAGGGCAGACGTCGAGATCGTACGCCGCGGCGTACGGGCTGAAGTGTGAGAGCTGTCGGTAGGCGTCGAAAAGGACCCCGCCGGTTGACCAGGTGGAAACCATGGCGAAGCCAAGGCCAAGGGCGCCCGAAACAGGGGCAAACCGACACTTACACGACACGAGCACCTGGCGCTCCCGCCTCAGCCGTTCTTGAACCCAAACCCAACTCCAGATAACGACCCCCTTTAGGGTGAATTGAATCCCGACCTGGGTGAAGATCACCACCCCCGCCAACCCCGGCGTCCACGAGGTCGCCCCACACACCCATTTTAGCCCTTTCATCAAGACAGTCGTGATCACCAGCGAGAGAATCCCGGCACAGGCACCGGACAGGACGATCGTAATCAGCTGTGGGGACCATCGCTCGATCTTGACAAAGGCGATGAGGTAAGGGGCAAACAGCAGCAGAAAGCACCCAACGGTGATGCCCCAGTCCATTTGTTACAATTTGTTGTAATTATTACAATTCGGTCCACTTTGCACGGCCCTCCCATACAAATCCAATTCCTACGCAACCAAACGTAGAAACCCCCTCTCAGAATAAGCTGAAGCTCCTTCAGTTTACACAGTTTATCAGGAGGGGGATATTCTCAGCGTACCACGCAATGATCTTGAGCTCCCTATTGACCTATCCGTAAACAAGGAGATTAGGTAAAGAAAAGAAATGAAGGCGCCTATTTCGGAACCGATAGATCATATGGGTTTATCAGCAATCAAAGCAGATATCAAAAGTGCGCTCATCTCATTTTGGGTTATCGATGTAATGTAAAATAACAGGTTTGATAAACGTAAAGTTGTTCATTTTATCCTCTGTTTTACAAACTTTTTTTGTGTGTTGAATCAGCAACTTGTGAAGATGTATTCCGTAGGTACCGCTTATTAATCAATTCCATATCTGTTAATATATGGTTAAAAAAAAGATATCAGGTGTCAGCAACAGAAAGCAATAGGTATGTAATCTCCATTAATAATCAAATCTAAGAAACTTGCTACAAAATTCACTCCCTCTAACACTAACAAGCAGTCTGTGAGTGAATGAGCATCTAGACATATCTACTTCTGTGTGTGCAATCATAATAATATAAATAAGCATTTTAACTAATAATATCATAATCATTTCTTTTCCCGTCCTCACACGTACACTCTTTTGACTAATCTTCATTGAAACAATAATAAACCAATTAATGAACACGCTATGGCATTTCTATTAAACCAAAGAACCTGAGTATAAATCGTATAGTATGCAAAAATATATCACACAGCTCTAATTAATGAATAAGCATTCAATTATATTTTAAAAATGACAATAAAAGAACTTGGTTGGGGTATATAAACATGTCGATGTTTTATGAGAAATAACTAAGTACAGTCTAAATAAAACAAAAAAAAATAGAAAAATCGAACTCAATCAAATCCTCCATGGTGTATAGAATTTATTCGTCTAAGAGTTTATCCCAGAGATGCTGCTATCGAAGGAGGTAGATCACATTACTACATCTTATGGGGGGAAGGAGCACGCGCGCATTGACACCTGGGACCACCCCTCTAAAAATATCGCGGGCGCGGGAGCTCCCTCTGTCGAGGACGGCGAAAAAGGCCTCAAATGGCGTAAACTCTAGCGGGGACCTCCCTCAGCGCCCATCCCAAAGACCCCCACGCCGACCTAAGACGACCCCTCCGAAGTCTCCACGACGTCGTCCTCGTCGCTGTCATCCCAATCATCGTAGTGCGCGTAGCTTTGCTCCTGTTGGGAGGTGGAGGCTGGGGGAGGGGAAAGGGGCCCAGCAGCAGCACGAGATTCTTCAGACAGCTCCCCCGTAAGCTCCTCGTCCGCCTTTTCTCTTTGCCTTTCCACCTCATCGCCATTCCGGACGTGGATCGACCGCTCCTCGGAGGTCAACACGACAGGGAGCACGCCCAGGTCATCCCCCCCCTCTGACGTCGTCCCAGACGGGGCGCCGGTGAAGGGGGAGGGGGAATCCCTGTCTTTTATTCCATTTTTGAGCTGAACGCCAAACGCGCCCTCAGAAACCAGAGAATTCCTTCGGGAAGAAGAACACAACAGGTTTTTCTCCCCAGCGATGGATTCTGTCGGGAGCGAAGGGTCCATCCCTTCGGGGACGAGGACCGCGGGAGAAGGAGTAAGTGCCTTGGACGCCTTCCCAGCTAACGCGGCGGCCGTCGTCGTAGTCGGTGGAAAAAAAGGGTAATTAAAATTCACCCCGGCGGGATGGACGGAAATCGAAGAAGAATCAGGCACCAGGCCTCCTATGAGGTTCATATCCCGCGTGGAGTTTCCTTTGGTGGACGTCCCGACACCTTCGGCAGGTGAGGATGGGGATGCGCCCATCGCACCCTGACGAGTTGGGGTGGATTCCACTAAGTGTGTCGTAGAGTTTAGCACCTGGTGGGGTGGGGAGGCCATCCCGCACACTAATTTCTCATACCGCACCCCATCCGCCTTGTGGGCTAAAAGCTCCCGCTGGCAGCCTTCCAAGGCAGCTTTAAGGCGGTCCACCTCAGCGTAGTGAATCTTCAGCTTCTGCTCGCCGATTTCAATCCGCCGTCGAGTCTCACGCAGCCCGCACATCGTCCTCCCACGCAACCCACGCAGCTGCGCTTGGTTGGTGGAAATGAGTCGAGAAAGCGGATCCAACTCGGTTTGGGTGATATAGCGATCCCCATCACGCTCTAAGAACTCTCGGAAGACGCTCGCCCCCTGCTCTATATCGTCCAGACGCTGGTAAACCGACAGAAGCTCCTCGGTGAGCTTATCGTACTGATTCTCGGTGTTTTCCACTATTTCTCGTACCTGCCCTTTGATCGCGTCGGCGTGTTGTCGGTCGGCATCTTTAAACGCGGCCTCCAGGCGCTCCGCTGTCTCCTCAGTATGGTGTGTTAACTGTTCTAAATGCATCATCACGTCCTTTTCAAGCTTCTTGGACTTCGTCAGCATTTCAGCCTCTAATCGCTCAAGGGACTCGACATTGCTATCCTTTCGATTAGCATGAAGATCTATTTTTTCTTTAATTTGCGCGCTCTGGCGCTGTAAAGCGGCAATTTCGTTATTAAACTCCTCCACCTCTGCCTGGACGGCCTCGCATCGTTCCAGAAAGCCTGACGTACTTGAGTCTATCTTTATCAACCGCTTTTCTAACCGCTCCACATCCGCCTTAGCGGCTTTATTGACGGATTCCGAGAGAGAAATAAGCTCAAAGGATGCCTCAACGCGCTCGTGAAGTGTGTGATGCTGTGCGAGGAGTTCCTTCTGGAACTGCGCATGTTTCTCGGCCAAAAGCTTCGTTCGGTTTTCGTTCGCATCAAGGCGATGCTCTAGTCGCACACACGCAAGCTCCTGCTGATCGGCAGCCCCCTGTATTCGCTCCCGTGTATCCTCCACAACGACCAGGCGGTCGACCGCGCCTTGAACATTTTCCATCACCCCCTGGAGCGTGCTTTTCAGTGTGGTGTTGGCCTTTTCGCAGTGGGATAGACGCCCCAGGATGGCGTCTGTTTTCCTCCCCGACTCCTCAACCAGGCGTTCGCCCCTTGCGCAGACCTCGCCCAGCGCGTTCACGCGGCTCTCCATCTGGGTGAGCCCCCGCTCGCACGCCACCACCGTCGCTTTAAGGCTTCCCGCGGTGCTCACGGCGTGAAGTTGAGACTCGACTTGAATTAAACGCGCATCGCGATCGAGAAGGACGTCCTCCACCCGCTGCGCCCGCTCCGCCGCTCGCTGGGAAAGCCCCACCGCCCGCTCCACCATCTCCCGCGCGACCAACACCGCGGCATCCATCCTCGACGTGCTGTCGTGCGCGGCGTCGGCCTTTTTCTCCGCACGATCCATCCGCGAGGCCCCGACGGCCTCATTCGACTCCAACGCCGCGACGCGATCGCGAAGCATCGTTGTCTGCACCCGCAGCTCCGCCTGACCCGTGCGCAGCCGCTCCTCCACTTTCTCCTCCACCGCGCGCACCCGCTCCCCCGTGCGCTTTAATTCCTCGACAAGCCCCGTCTGCGTCTCCCGCACCTCCCGCTCCAACCCCGCGGCGAAACTCCCCCAGGTTTGCTGGACCATCTCGCGGATGGTCGACCCCGCCCGGCGCATCTCCTCCGCCATGGATGCCTTAAGGCTTTGGATCTGACGAAGGTCCTCCTGGTGGAGGTCCACCCCGCGCCGAAGCTCCACCTCGAGACGCGTCGAGAGGGCCGCCTTTTCGTTTTCCATCTCCCGCACCACCTCCCCGCGCAAGGCGGTGGCTGCCGCCACCCCTTGTTCAATCCGCCCGCGCAGCCCCTCCATTTCCTCGCGAAGCTGCTCCTGGCGATCGAATTCCCCTCGTTGATGGGCTTTCAGCGTGTGTTGAAGTTCCTCCTGTTGGCGTTTGAGAAGGGCGAACTTCCCGGCCTCCGCCTGAAGCCGCGCCGTGAGGCCAGCCTCAAGGGCGGAAAGTGCGCGTTCCTGCGCGACCGCCCCCGCCCGCAGCTCGACCCGCAGCTCGTCCTTCCAGCGCCGGCCGAGGGCGACTAAGGACTCCCCGCGGGCCTCCCGCTCCGCCGCGAACTCCGCGCGGAGGGAAGTCAGCTCCTTCAGGGCGAAATGGAGCTGCCGGGAAAGGTCCCACCCACACGAATCCCCCGGCGAGGGACTTCCCTTCTTTTTCTCCCACACCCCGGATGAATAAGAGGGGTCAGTGCCCCGGGTGGGGGATCGCAACGAGGTCGTCCGCCCCTTGTCCATTGCGCAGGGGTCCCCGGAGAGCGCGTGCTCAGCGGATTCGATCATCGCTAACGCATCTCGGGCAAAACGCGACATGGGAATTCCGGCCGATTCAAATAAATTAAAACGCAGAAATACAATGGGGAGGGGATCAATCAATCAATAAAGAAATGGGTCGCTCTTCGTGACGAAATTTTTAAAATAAAGCCAACTAATCGCGTCTGTGGACTAGCTATAATATTGGGGGGATGAAAAAGAGGAAAAGAAACTCAACCAATGATGGGCACAGGTAACCATAAATAGGACCGCACAGACTCCTGTGGCGGCGTAACAAATCAGAAAAGTAGTTACTTAAAACACTAAAAATAAGGATTTACGTACATAGCCATGCATATATATATATATATATTAACGATAACTTTAGATGAATAATCGCACATAGAAATGCTAAATAGCAAGTTAAGTATGGGTTTGTTTGGCTAAATTGAGGCATCTTCAAATATCTATAACTTTCATATAGATATTTAATTTTTTGTCTGATAGTACATAGAAATAGTTTAATGGAACAGGGTAATCTAGAATGTGGGATATGTTATAAACGCTAAATCAAATGCATAATATCACACAAACATATTAAAAAAATACTATATACCCTCGTACACAAAACTAAACCCATATATCCCGCTTCACACACTCGTAGGTTTAACAGAAATTTATGCTATAGACATTCTTTGGTTGTTAATCGTAAGACAATTATACGTTTGGCATAGTATTCACCTTTTGCTTAGTGTTCTGGAGCTGTTCGGTTTAATTCCACACATGTGAACCGTGCATCTATTTGAAATATTTAGGCACCTTCAATAACCATGTGAACCCTTTATATATTAATCTTCATTGGAAATTCATAGTTTATTGAATTAGGCCCGATATTTTGATAATAATAAAAAGATAACACACGACGCTTGGGGAAAGTTTCCAAACTTTTCTGTGAATTTGTATTCAGTTTGCTCCACTACATTCATAAAGTACAGTCTTCTTTTTTTTTCCTCGATGCAGCAATCTTCCCATCTAATCATCTCCAGAATAGCGGCAATACTGGAGTGCTTTTCTGACAGGGTTTAAGCTCAATTTTTTAAGCTTATAGAATCAAGGGTAATGAGCCATTTCTACTCAAAACATTTGGTCAACTTTTGAAGCGATACAACTAGCTCAGCAATAGCTCATTGATGTAAGTTTTCTAATTTCCTTTATCTTTCATATACAAACGATCTGTTCTATAATCCGATTTTACAGACCTCTATCTTGTGAACACAAACACATGTACTGATTCGCAATGCTAGATGTATATCTGATGACCTTTTAAAATATTGCCTGATGTCTTAACTCAAGTAAGTCTAGTTCTTTTGATTTGGCCTTCAAAGCCTTCTTGGAAGGTAGTATAATATCCATAAAACCATCCCTGGGAGCTTTTGAACTTCTACAACTCAATAAGATTTCCTGGTCAGTAGTCATGTTTTCTTCTAGCTACTTTACACGCTCCTTAAGCTTATCCTCCACGGAAGTCAAAGTATTTTTTCCACTTTACAAGGATTTAGTCAAATTTATCACCTTCTCAAACTTTTGTGCTCGTTCATGAAAAGATCCTTAAGAAGCTTACCGCGATCAACACACACATGGAAGGTCTGATCAAATCGATGAATAGCATTAGTGCACTCATCACAGATAATTATCGGTTTTTCATACAACTGATAACTATCCAATAATGTTTTCGATCAAACAGGCGTTACAGTAGAAGTTCTTTCTGTACACCCTACAGTCTTGCGTTGATCAGAAAAGACTAAAAAATATTCCGCATTTAAATCAAGACTTTGTGGTCAAATGAAGCAACTCGACAAATCCTGAGGTTAGTTAAAAGGATGAAACCTTAACAGATTCATATGTAACGCTGAAAGTAATCAAATTGCGCAAAATGTTAAGAAAGATGAACTCCTCAATTGCGTATAGAGAAAACCTCGATACAGAAAGGAAATATAAATTGAAAAAAAAACAGAAAGCATAATTTGAAAGAGAAGAGAAATATTTTTATCTTACACAATAAAACATATTTTCCCTTCTTTCTGCAAGATTTAGTTGCTGTAATATAGAAGAAAAGCATCTTGGAAAAAATAAGGAATAATACTGAAAAATCATCCGTACTATTAATGAAAAGGCAAAATTAAAACAGAGCAAAACTCTGAAAGTAAAAGCAACAAATTAATGAGATGCTATATGTAGATAAATTTTAAAAGCTCGCGTCGAAAGTTTTGAAAAAATCTTCTGTAAAGGATTCCATGAATTGGTTGTACTTCACATAAAGTGATATACATCATGCCTTTTATCGATTTGGCATTTTCTACTATGGAATTCATGACGTGTAAGGCTCAAAGATGAAGGTTACTGGTATAATGCATCCAGGAACTGGGCACTTCCCGTGAACTTTGGCGGCACAGTCTTTACACAGCACCTGGTGCTTGCAAGGATAACAAACCTCCGTACAAACTCGATTGCGGCACACCATACACTTGGAACGTTCGTTAATGGCGACTCTGACCATGGAAATAAGATCGAGCACCTCGCGTTCGATCTCCTGCAAGTCTTCGATATTCCTCGTCTTCAATTCGTCGATGCACGGCAAGCTCAGGTGGGTGGATAAAATCTCTTCTTTCAACTCGAGATTACGCTGAAGGATGCGCGCCTCTCGCTCGGAGGCCTCCTGCGGGCTTTCATCCCGCCGTCGGCGGCGGCTTTCAGAAACAAGGGACTGCTGTTTTTGCTCTTCGAGCATGCCTAACCGAAAGTGCAGCTGCGGAAGACTCGGAAAAGTCTGATTTGATGCCCCGAACATCTGCACCCATTGTTCATACTCGGTCTGGCGAAACGGGGAGTTCGAAATGGAATTCAGCTGGACAACATTACCGTTTTGGGTTGATTTAAAACACGGCGGCAAATCGATCACGATGTGCACCTCGGTCGCGCTTCCATCCGCCGCGAAGCCGGAGTAAGTTGGGCCTTGTTGGACGCCTCGCACACAGGCGATGTAGTAATGGTCGTTGTTATCCTGCCGGGAGCCCTCATTGCGCATCTCCAACAACACCCGCACGTAGCAGCCCGCGACGACGTCGGAGAAATTACGCCAAGCCAGAAAATTGACCAAAGTGGTGCGGAACAACTGCAACTTGCGTAGCAGATCTAAAGGGGGGGGGTGGGAAACGGTGTCCATTTCAAAACGGGCACTTTTCTAGGGGTGTGTGTGTGTATATATCTTGTTGTGTTTGGTTTTCCAGGAATAATTCAAAGAACCTTGGAATTACCCTATTACTATTGCTGTTGAAAGGAAAGAGAGGTGGGAATAAAGGGACAATGTTTGAGAGGAGTGAGTTGTTGTTTTTGGACCTCGCCTTTCATTCAAATTTAAGTATTAATGGGCACAGAGAGTCCAGGTAAATCCGTAAAAGGATTGGAAAATTGAAGAACATATGGTAAGCTACTGCATTAATTCACATGATTGGAACTAATGAAATTGTAGTGGAAAATGGTTGTGAAGTTATTAAATAGAAACCACTCGGTAAAGCCAACAAAACGAAAGTAAATAAACGGCCATAAATAATCCTATGAAAAACGTTATCTATAAAAAGGTATATACTATATATATATAGTATATATATTGCTAGTAGCATGCGGTAGAATACCAGATTATGCAGATCATTTGTTAGAATAATTTAAACACTGTAACTCTTACACCTCTCCTTGTTTTATGTTATTCGGTCGACCTGTTAGAACACCACTAGATTACTTCCACTCCTAAATGCCAAACAACTCAATAGTTTTTAATAATATGAAATCCAGTCTACCTCAGTGCAAACAAGTCTTCTACACATATGTAGAATACTAGAAAGACTTCAGTTTTACTTTCCCAGTCTTCTGAATAAAAAAGAGGTACTGAATGAACCTGCGGAAGGTTACCAGAAATAGGCTAAAAGAAGGGGTAACGAAAATACTGGATCAAGATTGCCCTCATCACACTCACACCAAACATGTGGTACAAACAAATATGTATTTGGCATTACTGTGAAAATAAATACGTTTGAAAGTTTTAGTCAACAGATCCACAAAAGTTGTTTCCTTTGCTTCACGTGTGCATGGCGTGCACGACGCGATTAACTAAAGTTGTAGAGAAAAAAATGCTAATGCAACGGTAGCTCTCTAAATTATCATTCATAAATGTGATTAAACCGATACTAAATCCCCAGTTCACGCATGCGTACTCATTGTACAGGTATGTGAGTTTGACCTACGGTGAATCAAAGAGCTCGAGCCAGGCTTCGATATCCGAGGGAAGGTCCTTCTGCATGCGCCGCGCAAGTTCCTTAAGGATGTCTAAAGCTTCATGAGGATATTTTTCTTGAATAGAACGAAATGAAAAGCGTACTAACTGTTCAAAATCATCCTTAGAAATTGAGCGATTGCGTGAAAGAGTTTCGTATGACTCTAAAAGCTGGCCTTGTTGTAAGCCGATAGTAAAAAAGGAAGCCATAAGCAGTGGATAGTCTGCCAGATCAGGAATCCCTTTCACGTTATCATAAAAAAGTACTCCTATTGGAGATTGTATATCTATCTCTGAGGAATAATGGCCCATAAGAACATGCATGCCTTTGTGTTTGACAAACCTTTCCATGGCCTCAGGTATGTTCTGCATAGATCTAGATGCCTCATCTAGTAAACAGATCACCTCTCTGTGCATCTTAGCACGGAAAAAGGCAAAAATACACTTTATACCAACACTATAGGCTGGACCAGTCCAGAGTGTGTGTTGCTCAGGATGCCAATGTCGCATCAGTTGTTCAACATATTCTGGAAGTGGAGGGATGCGATTCGCCAAATAATATGTAAACGTGCTTTGGGCATCAATCGTAGGATCTATGTTGACTTCCGCCAAACATTGAATGCACGCAATCGCTTGGTCGATTTGTTCAAGCCACGAAAACGCACAAATTGCCGCCGAGGCGGTGCGTTGGTTCCATCGTGCGGACGTGTGTCGCATCCACGACCACAGTGCGGTGATCTTGGTGTAATCCTTGCGCGCCAGTAAGACATCCATAACAATGCCAAAATCTCTGGGGTCGATATAGCCCTTTTGAATTGCTATTTTCACCACTTCCATGATATCACCACAATCAGAATTACTAGAACTCAGTGTACACAAAGACCTCAATAACTTAGGGGCGGAATAGGGTATGAAACGGATATGGCTAACAATCATCTGTCGGACCTCACTCTTCAATGACTCTGAGCAACTCGAATCCGAGATGCAGTGATTCGCCAAAATGTTCAAAAAAATTATTACACCAGGAGCGTTGGCATCCCGAAGTAGGACCAACGTCTCCTTGATGTCCTCTGCAGAAAAATCATCCTTGTGTTCATGAAAATAATCTTTGAGATTCAGAACAAGTTTTTCTGGTTGAGAGTAGGATGAAATGGTTGCTACCGCATCGCGATAGTTTTTGTTCTTGATACAAGAAGTGGTATAAGCAGTCGCAACAGGTATTGGCAACGGAGCATTGGGGGATAGCTGTCGGAAGGTGGTAATAAGCTGTCGGCATTGCTCCTCGTTGTGTATTAACTTTGCGGTGTCTTCACCACAAAAAAGCTGCGAAAACGAAAGCAATCTAGTGGATGTTTTTTTTAGCATCATATTCTTCTCCCTAGGTGCGATACTGAATAAAAGAAAAAAGTCAGCAGGAAGGGAAAGGGAAGGATGGTATAATTTCTTCAACAGTTATTCATTCCGCACATTCGATTACTCTCTTATGATTTTTTTTTAGAATTATTTATTTCCCAGTTACTTTTGGTACTCTAACATTCTATATTATCCATGCAAGGAAACCCTTTACATAGTGTCTAAAATTGCAGTAAAGGTGTTGAATGAATGCAATCTATTCATCATCGTCTGAAACTCCTAAGGCTGATATGACATCCATCCTCTCGTCATCTTGCAGCTGTTCCCAGCACTTCCGGATGAACTCGGTGTCTTGCAGCTTCAGGATCGGGATGGCGCCACCGATGGAAGCTTCGAGCAACTCCATCACAGCTCCGAGTCGGTCATAAAGCGCATGGCGCTGTCGCCACTTCGCCGTGGATGCGTTCGCGTTGTTCCCCGCCGAGAGCGCCACGAAGCGCTGCACCAGGGCCGTGCAAAGTCGGCACACACGTGCCAGCGTCCCATCCACATCCCCCTGCATGTGGTACCCGATCCACCTCGCCGGCAGCAGCGCCTCAACCTCCTCGGGGCAGGTGCTGCGGTGGACCTGAGCCTCCCAGTCGGCCTCCTCGTCCGTCCAGGCGAGGTCCCAGGTCTGAACGGGGCCTGGCGGCTCGAGCAGAACCCGGGCGGCCGCCGCATCCCAGCCATTCAGGAGGCCCCCACAAACCGGCTTCTGCTCCCGCGCCGCGACGTTCGGGCCGGTTGCGCCCGCGGAGTTGGGGTTGAGCAGCCTCAGCCGCTCACACGCCCGCATCTGTGTGGGGTTTACCGTGTAGGGTAGAATCGTGTTCATCGCAATTGACACAACCCCCTCTCCCCACTATAAGAGAGAAAGAAACGGAGGGAACTCAAGAAAGGGGTCCCGGCCTGTTGTATCCTATTGGTGGTTAGTGGTGTTACTTCTTCCTTGACAATGGGTGAGGTGGGACGGGTGAAATGAGATCGGAATAAGGAAAAGAGGAAGGAAAAGGTGAGCACGCTAGGTCCCTCGCCCCCACCCCCTCTTGTGTGACAGATAAATAATAATAATAATACAGGTATTGGCCAAAATGAGGGTGATCAATACCAAGAATGGAGAAAAATGGCAGCTAAGACTTCGATTGATTGATAAAAAATAGGTAAATATATACGAAAACGAGAGATGACCAAAAGCATGTTGGATTCACTTCCAATATGGAAAAAAATTGTATGTATGCAACCATTTACAAAATGAGCCCTCCAAGTAGAGGAATACTCACTGTTCCATTACATTGGTTTATTAAATGACATTTTTTTTTAGAAAAAATGTTTAATAGCAGAACAAAGAAGAATAAGAAAAAAATGTACTTTATTAATATATTTCAAACAATTTTATAGAAAAAAAAATATTTCCATCATCCCTTCAATGAAAAATAACTGCAAGCAATTTATCAAGTGTCAAGTAGCCAAGGAAAATAATCGCAGAAAGTACCATAGAGCCTTTAATTATTTTCGATAGTGATTGGGAACGCTGATCAGGGATTGGGGGGTAAGCGAGATGCCAAAGAGCAAGTTTTTGCATCTTCAGCAAGATCAATTCAATTTCTTCTGTATATTCTATGTTGTGAGCGTCATTTTGTGATTCCTCCTGAGTTAAATGTGACATGTACTCTAATATAAAACGGTAACTATCTTTTTTTTGAAAATGAATGAATTTTGACGATAAATAAAAAAGGCACCAATATATATTAATGCTCCATATTTAATAAAGCAGCCAAGGAATTAAAAAGTAATATGAATGAGGTCAGGAACAAGTGAAGGTAAAATTTACATTTTAACAAATATAGTAAGCATAAAACAGCATAAAAATCATCTTAATGAAAATATTGACGATTTCGGGAAAAAATTAATTCAATATAATACAAAATAAAAAAATATTAATGAAGAAAAGCGACATACTTAATGCCTAAGTCTGCCTAGATTAAAGATCGATACACGCATAAGTGTATTCGCCCTTAGACAAGGATAAAAAATACGGCCCCTAATGGTAGAAACAAAATAAGCAATAATTCGATGTACATAGCTAATCCCCCTCTTTTGCATCGATCTACTGCATCAAGTAGAAGAAATCGTCTTCAATATTGACCTCATTCTCTTTGCTCTGCATTAGGTCCCCATTCGACGTCCTGCTGTGCTTGATTTGTAAATACTTGTTCCCTTTCACATCCCTGTTGCTCATCTTCTACATGTGTTTATTTTTTAAGATCATCTTAAGCATGTACCTAAGCCAACAAAAAAATAAAGTATTTAACTAAATTTCTACTCTGACACTCCTTTTCAAAGGCATGAAAGGAAGTTGGGTGATCTGTTCACCTTTGAAATACATAACGTCTTTCCTTGCGCTCAATTGAGCGCTCTGCGGCTTCCTTCAGTTCAGCATGTAGACGACGCTGTTGAGCGCGCTTCTTTTCCTTCCTAAGAAGCGATAAAAAAAGTGACTGCATCATGACTTGGCAGCCCACCCTTCTCTCAGACTCTTCCTCAATAATCATCTCTCGGCGCTTATTCTCAGCCAAAACACAATTAATTTTTTGATCGATTATCCAGTTCAGGCGCAAGGAGATCCTGCGTTTCAGGTCATCCTCCCCTATCCCGAGGATGGTTCCATACCCCATGTTCCCCTGTTCGCGCGGTGTTGTAACAAGTTGGCCCGCCTTCTCCTCCTGGGCGTAGGTCCGTTCAGTGAACGCGTCTGTTGCAGCTGGCGTCATCCCGGGAAAGCCCTGCGGCTTGTGATACCACCCTTCCCCCAGAGATTCCGTTTTGTCCGTCGAGAGCTCTGAAGACGTGTTGGAAGGGTAAAGAAAATTTCCCATCCACCTCGCCTCCACGTCATCCCATTCCTCAATGCCGGGTAGGAAACTCATGGGATCGGAAAACCGCGAAGGTCGTTCGTGCCGCGTGAACGAGGTAACCCAATTGTCCTCGGTATTCGTTTGGGAAGTGGGTGTGGAAGAAGAAGAGGAATTATGCGCGTATGAGTAATAATCCGATGGCCTTGGCGTCCGGTTATCGCAACGGCGAGCCCACAAAGAGTTGGGGCTCATGCGATAGCGTAATCGAAGTTGCTCCTGTTGCCTCCGTTCCTCCTGGTTTAGATTGCATAACCGTAGCCCATATAGTATCCGTTCTCGCGTTTTGTTGTGAACCGTTTCGGGAATATGGGAAATATTATTAAGATCAACCCCCCGATCGCTTCCCACAAATCGATAGCCCCGCTGATGTGGAAAACTTTTGGTTTCGAGGACTTTGGGTTGAAATGCAGTAATCCGGGAAGAGTTCGGTAGAGATTCATTGCATTCCGGGTTTTCGGTAGCCCTAACGGTGAATATTTTATTAGGTTCCATATCTTTAAGTTTATTCAAGTCAGAATCTAATATTCTGGGACATGAAAAACACTGGTGCCTGTCCTGTGTGGAGTGAGGAAAATGATTTCCCTTAGGAGGGTTCATTTGCGCATTTCGGTCTAAATGCGATGAACAAAAAGAACAACCTCGCATATTTAATTAGAATAAATCTTTTTAATTATTTTGATTTTTTTTTTGAAGAAGAAATAAATTTAAGTAAAAGTAAAACAAAATGTAAACACAAAAGAAAGCCTCTATGAACTATCACTCAATAAAGCATTTCTGATTTTTTCAGTGAATTTCGCATTGCTATAAGATGAGGTACTTGAAGTAATAAGAAAAAGCATCATCGCATAAAGTTTATTCTAATATAAAAAACTGGAAATCAATTAAAAATATTTAGGACTAATACTTGCACTGCTAATGTACCACTATTTTCACGTTCAATATCAAGTAAGAATTAATAATTTAATATTGACCTTTAAAAGATGACATTCATATTTATAACATATATCAAACAAAGGTAAATTATATAGCACCTGAAATAATTTCTTGTGAATTTATCATTTTGTTGATAAAAAAAAATGTGGTAACTCAAACATAACATTATAAATTGATTGGGTGCGAGTCCCGTAACAACTTGCTCACTTTCTTGAACTCTGGATCAGAAGCATCCTTGATCATCTGTAAAAGAAACGATTCAGATGTCGTAAGAATACAATTAGGCCCCCATGTTCGCATTAAATCAAGAGCTACCTTGAGATCGGTCGCTTTCTGGCTTCCCACGCCATCAACAAGGACAAAAACACGTTTCTGCATCTCCAACAGGTCAGAAATCGTCTGAAGGACGCAGACATGCCCCTCAATCCCCACCACCGTTACGTTATCCACATCCGTGAGATGTTTTTTCACGTCGGGGACGATACACGAAAAGCTGCTTTTTTCAACAAGATGTCCATCCTGAGGGATGATTAACTCCTTCACACTGTGGCCTAACCCTTTGGGGTATTGCTCGGTTGCAATGAATGTTGTATGTTGGGGAAGAGACTGATGGAAATGCGCCATACGGTTAGATACAAATACACAGTTCGCGAAGTTCGAAATTCGCTCAGAAAATGCGGTTTGTAAGTCGATCGTTAGGAATGCGGTCTTGGATTTGGTGTAATGCGAAGCAAGTCGGGACATTAGTAATATGGAGTTATGGTGGAAATTGTCAAATAATAATAATAAACTCTTTAAAGTAATGTAAAATAACTTTTTTGTGTAAAATACATCACAGGATAAACATGTACAATAATTGCTTTAGTTCAATGGGAAACTATTTACTATTTGTATCAAGTATTATGATAGAATAAATTTTCGTGGTGAATTTTACAAATGATTCGCAAACAATGAAAGAAAATAATAATTTTAAAAGTAAATGAAAGCATCACAAATAGAACTTGAAGAATGATACCTAGGCAGGTTAATTTTAGTGATGTCGAGTATGTTAACTCCAAGGAAACTTAGGGAGTGGTATGTTGAAAAATTTTAGAAGCTGACACATGCGCCTCATCTTTGCTTTGGCATGCCTCTCACGATTACAGTAATCCTCCTCCTCTTTCGAAAGTGGTTGCTGAGGGATGGAACCAGAAATTAATTCTTGTGCGACCTTCAGCACCGCATTTTCGAGCATCGGTTGTGCCCAAGAAAAGGCATGATTTTGGTTTCCAGGCATAATTAGAGGGCGTTCGTTATACATTTTAAGCTCTCGTATCTTCAAACACCTATTAAAAATCTCCAAAATGCATGCATTATTACGATTATTCCCACAAAAGCAAGGCGCAGAGAAGATAGATATCACGGCCGGTATTTCCATTTCGGGGTGGATTTTGTCGATAACATATCCTGGAAAATAAATTGATTCATCGTTGTGGTTCGGTCTTGTGAAGTCATTTTTGTCAGGACAGTTTGTGTGGTACTCCATGCCTACAATCAGCATCGCCAGATTATTACGACTAATAAAATTGCAAGCCGCATTGAAGGTGTAAAAAAATGAACGATCGCTGTGCGAAGCAACAAAAATATTTTTCCCCAATACCATTTCTTCGGGTTCGCTCATTCGACTATTAACAACAAACTCCAAAAGTGCCTCTCTCGAAGTCTCCACCTCAATTTGAGAAAGCAAACGAAACCCCGAAGCCAGTCCACCAGAAACACAAAATAAAAGTTCATCAATAACGCAGACAATCGGTAAAGTAAAAAAGAAATTCTGCACCTCTTCCTCATATACTTCGGCACTAGTATTGGAATTAATTGACCGTAGAATAAGTTCATTTTGTAGCGATCCAAAAAACTTGGGTTGTATCGGGTAGATCAGCTCGTGTTTCCCTAAGAGTGGCACCACGTTTTTCCCTGAATGAGATACAAGAAGAGCGACCAAGTATAGCACCTCTATGGATTGGTGCGCACCGTCAATATAATTCCCTAGCAGGACGATATTCTCAACCTCCTCATTTAATAGAATTGTGGTGAGTATATAGTGCGCAAAATCGGATGCATGACCTCGTAAAGGGCCAATCACGATGGTGTATCCGGTAACCTTCACCATGTATGGTTTCTGAGCGCAAACCTCACCGGCACGGCGGAGTGCTTCGCTAACAATCTTCATCGATATATTTTCACCATTACAAATCGCCTTCGCCGCATTCACAATTTGATTCATTCAGTCACCGTTACCTAAAACACAAAACAATTAAAAGGAACGTCGTTTCCGACTTGGCAAAAAAAAAGGTGAAAATAATAATTAAGAAGCACGCGATTGATGAAAAGGAAACCTTCAGACGCATGAAACAAAAATGAACTAGCAGATTTCTGAAAGCCTTATGTAGACTTACTTCGTTGGATTATTGAGCTACTACAATTTGTCCAAATTGACCTTTAAAAAGATTGAGATTCACAAAATTGGGGCACACCGCTTGTTGTTAGGGTAACTCCGGCAGCGAATTCAAATAATCCAACGTATCATAATACACGGAAACAAGTTCAGACACTTCCAAAAACATATCACAAACCCTTTTTGTACATGTTGTCGGCGTGTAAGTGTGCATGGCATCAAAAACCATCTGTTCGCGCGGCGTGCCTATGATATGATAACTTGAAAGCATTCCCCGTCGGCTATAGGCACCCACAAAATAGGATGGCATCGCTTTCCTTTTATGCATTGAAAGCGGTAATGCATTGTAAAACCGCTTCAAACCATCAAAATTTCTATGAATGGGTAACTGCCCCTTCCTCCCTTTTCTAGTCATAAGGTTCCTCAAAATAACTAAATCTTTAATCGATAATGAAAAAGAATAGAATGCAGTAAAGGTCGACAAAAATGTATAACAGAGGATGAAATCGAAATTTTTTTCTCCTCAGTCCATCCTGTTTAATAAAAAAATGCGATATCACGTAGGCACCAAATTGACCAAATTATTTGGAAATGCTAATAATAAAGTCAACTTTATGTAATCTATTCCATAGCAACCCCGAACAATCTCATGACGGACTCACACTGGGATTTGAAGCCTGCCGTTGAGATACAAAATACGCATTGCGTCTTGACAGTAAAAACTGCTTCTGGCGAACCCGTTTGTACTCATAACGCCACACCATTTCCTGGTGATAATGATCAATAACACGTTGTGGATTTCGATCCGACAAAAACCCTATTTTGTAAAGTTTTCTCTCAAAATCACTGGAGTAATGCCACATTGGGCCCCACCCAAGCCCAGCCAGCTCGCCAGAGTTAATAAGAAAGCGAAGAAACGCACGATATTCATACTCAGTAAAGTTGTCAATTTTAATAGTGTGGAAAAAGGAGTCTTTTTCTGGGTAGTATGGCGCGTACTCATCCAGGCTATTCGTGAATTTGTCCTTTTCAACATCTGGAAAGCCACTAATGCCGTCAAAAGGCTTAAAATCCCGTGTGGTGCATGTAATGAAAAATTTATTAGGCTCATCAGAGGACAAGATAAACTTGTTGAGACCTCGAACAAAACTAAGACGCGACGAAGGGATGCGGGGCAGTTCTTGAGGATACATATCCACATCTGTGTTTTTGTCGGTCAACGATGTCAGGGTACGTAAGAAGTCTGGATGTGGGTATCGAAAGTGTGTATTGTGTGAGAAAAGGTTCCACCCGTCTACAACAATTAAAATGGTCTTCTCTTTTTCGGCACTTAACTCATCAAGAAGAAACTTTATACAAACACTTTGTCGATCTATGGAAGCTGGAGCAACCGCCTGATAACCCCACTCACACAGCTGTAGAAGTGTCTTAGGGGATGTTTCACCTTGATCTATGGGAAGGTCACTTGGTGTACATTTGAGAGACCAATTTTCTAAAATGTTTCGATTTGAAATAGCAAAATACTGAAGAAACTCTCGCGCCGCATCGGGTGCATCAAAAAAACCTGGCAAAATTACACTGGGCCAACACCATTCCCCATGTGTCCATGTCTTGGCATTTGGTATGTATAGTGTGAGAATATTGCGTGATCGCGCGAAATGTACCGCCTGACAAACCAATGCACTTTTGCCGCATCCCGTGGGACCGTCCAGAATAAAGCCCGGCCTCCCATTACTCAAGGTGCTAATAACGCTCCGTTTAGTAGCCCAGAATGTGAGCTTCTGAATAAATGTATTCAAAAGATGACTCTCTTTCCGATATAAGAAACCACGGGGATGGCCTGGAGGCATCAGCTGCATAACTTTGCCCCCTAAACCTTCCGGAAAGTATCGAATCAACTCGTCGTTGCCGATACAGTACATGGAATCAATATCATTAAAGTTCAGCTGCGTAGGTAAAACTTCGGGTGGGTGGGAATATGTTTTCTTCACAACACTCACATAATTTCCGTTTTTATTGACAAATGTTTGCTTTAAAGGAATTGCTCCATTCCACATTGCAACAGGTGCCTCACAAGCATCGGTGTAACTTTTCACCGCAGACGGTGTGTACAAGGACGCCAAGCTTTTGCGGAACCCATGGACCTTCATCAATAAAAAATCTAGTGAGATATCAACCCAAATTCAGCAAGTGAATACCACTATTCCTACGTCATTTTTTAGTTAGAGAGAGAGAAAAAAATCACTCAAACGATTCCATTACAAAACTAATAATAAATGGTACAAAAAAAATTACACTCATAAATGGTACACGCCACTAACCCCTCGACTTTCCTGAAGTAATATAATGTGCCTAGAACAACTTGATGATTAGTTTTAGTCTT